AATTGTTGATTAATTATGTATTAATAATCTAAAGTAATTAATTAATTAACTATTAATTATTGATTTCTAATATAAAGAAGTTTTATTAGAAAAAATTTAATTCATTTTCAGTTAACAAAAGTAATTGCTTAAGTTTTGTTTTGAATTGGTTTAGAGAATAATTAGTTTTCATTTCATTATTTAATATTATGTTCCACAACTTTGGTCCTCGGTTTACAATAGAGAATTTAGTAGCGGAATAATAAGTTTTGGATTGAATGTAGTTGTATTTTGAAAATTTTGTAGGGTATAGGTGATTTATTTTTTCAAAAATTGAATAAAATAAGATTGGTAATATATTTTTATTAAGATTGAACATGAAAATAAGAACTTGATAGAGGTTTAGTTTATATACATTTAGGATATTGAGTTCATTAAAAAGTGTTTGTGTGTGTGAAAAACGATCTACGTTTGAAATTATCCTTATAGCCTGTTTTTGTTTGCTAATAAATGATGTAATAACTGCTTTGCTTTGTACATTATACCTAAATTTTTTGATATTTTATCTTCAACTACACCTATGTGTTCCCTCCAGGTTACATTTTCGTCAAGAAACAAGCCTAAAAACTTTATTGATTGCTCTCTCTTTATTAATTGATTGTCAATAAAAAGGTCTGGGAGTTCTAAGGGAATATCTGATTTTTTATGTAGGCGATGGAATAAAGTGTATTTTGTTTTAGTAGTATTTAAAGACAACTTGTTTGATTTAAACCATTGGGTTAGTTTGTCTAGTTTTTTGTTTAATGTTTAAAATGTTAGAAAATTTATTTAAATCGTTTATATAAACAAGAAATAGAAGTGGCCCTAAAATTGATCCTTGAGGAACACCACATTTAATTGTCTCATAATTAGTTTTTCCTTTATCATAAACTATATACTGCTTCCTATTATTAATAATAAGTTCTTATTAAAAAGTTTACTTGCGGCGCCTCAGATTTATAACAATGGGTTAAACGTCTATCTATTAATACGTCCTTGGTTGAATGTTGTATAATTTTAAATGAAAACGCGTTATTTTATATTAACGCATTACCATTTACCAGATTATGAAAGTAATTAAAAAAAAACCGTTCCAAACAAACATAAACATGACATAACTTTTAATGAAAACCTATGCATATGCAAATGAAAAAGCTTGTTTATGCTTTTGCAAAAACCTGTACACGCCCCCACTTATAACGACATGCAAACTAGGGGGCAGAGGCGGGAGTAGGTCCATATAAAAAGAACAAGTAGGAGATGGTAGATAGTGAGAAAATATTGTCATTTAATAGACTTTTATTTATACTTTATTTTAACTTATTTTAACTTTAATAAAATAGAAAGTTAGGTAAACATGTTTTTTAATGAAAATATTAATAGAAAAAGTTTTTTATTTTATTTTTCAAAAGTATTTACTATCAGTAATACTTAGTATCATCAGTTAGTATCAACTTTAATTTGCGCGTCATTCTTTCATCCATGTCAATAGATTGATAAAATGGTCTATTATTAGTAATATCTAATAAGCATCATTTTCAAGGGGGGTGTGGTATAGAAAAGAGGATTTTGATCCCCTTTTTCCGTTATATTTACCGGTATAAGGAAAAAAGGGGATCAAAAATAGCCTCAAAATTGGTAACGTCCTTTATAGACGGGTTTTAGTTGTCCAATCTTAGTTGCATTGAGTGGATCAAGTTTTCACCTTTTTAATGCGAGCAGCTGTGGCGAAGTGGTAGCGCACTTGACTCAAAACCATAAGATTCGTGGTTCTAACCTTACCTCTGGGCAAGTTATGCGACGGTTGGGAAGAAAGCGTGAACTTCCTAGTAAATGCTCTTCCGTGTTGCCCTGTCATAAGACCGTAAGGGATTTTTGGGGCACCTAAAAAACTAAAAACAAATTAAAAAAAATTGCAGATTTTTAGTTTTTAATTTTAACGAGTGATTTTTAAAGTAATAAAAAAATCAAACAATGGTTTATTTTTCCTTTTATCTAAAGTTCCAACATAATCTGAAATTTCCAAACGCTCATTAAAAAATCTTATGTTTGATGGTTTATAACAATCAGAACCCGGACTATTGGTATAAAATTTTATTTTATTTAGATAAGTGGTATAAAATAGATTTAATTAAAAACCTCTTACCACTTAGCAAATTTTACACACCTTTCTAATGCTTTTTTTTTGCTATACACATACTTATTTTAAAAAATCTCAAATTTTTTTTTTCTTTACCCCCTCGCTTATCTCAAATCTTTTATCATTCAAATAATTTCTGATAATGTTTTTAAATTTTTTTTTACATCTTTATATCTTTTAACTGGCAGTAAATTCATGTTTAAATAGTAATACTAAAAAAATATCAGAAGTATATTGTTAAATCTTCGATTGTAAAAATGATTTCTTTAAGCTTTCGTTTAAAAGAAAAGTAGTTACTTTGATAAACAAATTATCAGTAAAACTTTTTAAAACTGTTTTATTCCATAACAATAGTTCTCGATAATCAATCCAAAACATAGAAAGAATTGTATGAAAATTAGGCTGCTTAATAAAATTATCGTTGCGCAAAATGTATTTATTTTTATCTTTTTATGAATACAAATTATGGAAAGAAATTGGAGATGAATTGGTTTTACATTTAAAATACAACAAAAAATGTTAAAAATATTAAGCTGATATATATTAAGAACTTTCACTTCAAGTAATAAAGGCTTGGCAAGAGTATAACGGTCTTTAAAATATTAAGACTTGATACATTGCTGCTTTGTCTCTCTCTCTCTCTCTCTCTCTCTCTCTCTCTCTCTCTCTCTCTATATATATATATATATATATATATATATATATATATATATATATATATATATATATATATATATATGTTATATTTATTATTATTCAGTGATCGAATACAAATACAATAATCTATTTATAATTTGATGAAGAGGTGCTACACAAGGCCCCTCTATGCTAACGAACATGGAGATAAAGACGTGGCATTCCTACCTTTTACGTTTTCTTGTATTATCAGTCAAAAACCTATTTTTGAGGTAGCTGTTTTTACTTTTGGCGCCTCTCAACGTCCAAATAGGGAGGCGGTCGAGATAAATAGGACAAGGGAAGGGGGAGGTTGTCAGAAAAGGACGTCACATTTAATATAATATTTAATAAAATAATTAAGTATAATTTAATATAATATCATCATCTAGTAATAATAATAAGAATAATAATAATGATAAGCTGCGGCAAGAATATGTAATGTGTAAAGTCGTTTGCAGACTTGTGGGTTTTTATAGATACATTTACTTTAGTTGATCATGGACAGAAATAGCTTTTGATTAAACTATTTTGACGTGCACGTCCCGTTTGAGGTTGTGTGAAAGGCAAATGTCAAGATCTCTTTCATTGTAAAAGAAAATAAATCCCTTGTAGAGTCAAGATATAGTATTGGTGTTAGGGGTTTTTGCTTTTGTTGAAGGGTAAAGTAAGGCTCTTTTTTAAGTTAAGACCTAAGCGCCAGGTTGTAGTCCAAGATGTGAATATATATATTTTTGGTTTACATTAGTTGGTCTTTGTACTACTTGATCTAACAAATAAAAAAAATTAATAATATAAACTTACAATGAATATATATATTTTTTATCTATTAAACTTACCATGATAGACAATATAACAAGTATAAGCAAGGTATCTGAAAGAAGATCGCGAAACATTAAATAAGCATTTAACAAGAATAAGATAATCAAAAAAATAATAAACATTTACAAAATTTCAAGGTAAATAATTATCAGTTGGATTAGCTTGATTTAAAAAATACTCTATTTAAAATAACATTCGAAGAGTTATTAAAAATATTCAGATAATAAAATATTACGATTTTAAATTTGTTAAAACTATTATAGATTTAAAAAAAAATATTATAAACTTTTTTAAGGAATCGTTGTTAAAACAGTTAGGGACAAATGTGTGGTTTTAGAATATCAATATATATGGAAACGCTCGTGAAATAGTAGCAATGTTTTCTTAAAATTAAAAGTAAAACATAAGAAAACACTACATTGTTTAAAAGTACGTTTTAAGTTAATATAGCGTAAAACTTTACGTAAAACAGACTTATAGTATAAAAATATAATATTAATTTACCATATTGTTACCTAAAGCAATAAACAACAATAGACAATACGTTATTTCTTTGATTTTTTAATCCGTATATTAAATTAATAACAGAATATGTTTTCTTAAAACAAAAGGTGTTTATATATATATATATATATATATATATATATATATATATATATATATATATATATATATATATATATATATATATATATATATATATATATATATATATATATATATATATATATATCCCAGCTAGCACATAGACGTTGGCCCAACAACGGATTGACGTCGAAAAATTCGTTGGCCAATGGTCGGCAACCGAAGTCGAGCCAACGTGGATTTGATAGTCGGCGCGACGTCGCAACCAACCGTTGGGCTAACGTTGGGCTAACGTTGGCCCGACGTTGGGCTAACGTTGGCCCGACGTCGAATTCCAACGTTGGGCGAGCGTCGCATTCTGACGTTGGTCCGACGTAATATTTAAATAATAAGAGTTTTGATTTGTTTTCAAAAACTTTGCTTTTGATTCAAAAGGTGCGCTTATCTTTTGAATCAAAAACAAGGTTTTTGCAAACAACTTAAAACTATTTCTTTGACTAAAGTGCAACGTAAGGAAAGTGCATTTCTTTAAAAAAGGCGCAGCTAATTCTTAAAATAAAGACCAACCATTTCTATAAATAATGTCCAACCATTTTTTTATATAACGTGCAACCATTTCTTTAAATAGAGCAACTATTTTAAAAAGTGTAACTATTTCTTTGTAATGTTCAATAAAATACAATGTCCAAGTAAGTTTAAATAAATTTGATGATAAATCAACTTTAATTTAACAATTACATCGAGAAAATCAAAACTTGTTGTAATAACTATTATAATTATGTTAAAATATTCGTACAAAATATATTCAAACATATTAATATTCATCTCAACTGCTAAGCATCCTTACAAATCTTGAATCTTCACTTCGCTTGAGAGCAACTATAACGTTCGAATGCTCCTCTTTATACAATTTGATAGAAATCTTTGAACTTGCATCTTTGGTTTGTCGAGCTTTAGATATTGCCATAACTGCTGGACTGCTGGTAAAACTATAAGAATTATAACTCAGACATTTGTGTGTATATATATATATATATATATATATATATATATATATATATATATATATATATATATATATATATATATATATATATATATATATATATATATATATATATATATATATGTATTATATACAAATAAAATGCACATAAATGAAAACATAATAAAGTAATTTTTTCGATATACTACCTGCATAATTATGGCAACAAAACATTATTTAAAAATTAGTCAGCACATTTGTTGATATTGCATTCATTTTTTAATGTCACATCTAAAAAGAAAATTATTGAAAAGTAGTATTAATATTTCACTCCAAAAATTCGCAATTCTATTATACAAATGTTGTAAAAGTTCATATTACCATTAAAATGCCGCAAATGCATATAATTAAACATAAAAACATACAATAAAGTCATACTATACAGAAACAAGAAGTAATATATTATATTATAATTTCGGACATTTTAATGGCATACTATTTTAATGCAAAATAAAAACTATAAAACAGGAATGAAGTAAAAACATTTACTCACAATATCTGTAATCTAAATAAACACATGTATTTACAAATAATATCTAATAGATGTTGTATAAAATAATATAACATAGTAATATAACAACCACTTCTAGTGATTCAATCTTCTTTGCATAAATTAAATGACCAACAGCTTACTTAAAACGGAATTTGATAAAATTTTAAAAAAATTGTTTTCGTAAACTTGTATAAAAATGTTTGATAATGATGCTTTAAGTAAAAGTTTAACGATGTAATTATTAACAAGATACAGACGACAGCTATTAAAGTAAATCCTGAAATTAAAGGATTCCAATGTTGGACAAACGTCAAATTCTGACATTGGCCCAACATAATATTTTAATAATGAAAATTTAAATTTGTTTCCAAAAACATTGTTTTTGATTCATAAGGTGAGATCACATTTTGAACCAAAAACAAAGATTTTGCAAACTAAAACTATTTCTTCAACTAAAGTGAAACTATTTTTTTAATTTTTTTTTTAAAACGCAAATATTTCTTTGTAATGTCCATTAAAATATCCAAATCAGTTTGAATAAAACTTAAGGCTGATAAACACAAGTAATACATTGATGCTAATTTATGAACCAACTTTAATTACACAGAAAACCAAAATTTGTTGTAGTAATTATTATAATTACGTTAAAATATTCATACAAACTATACATATATTCAGATATATATATGACCATGTATGTTGGAGAAATGGCATTATGAGAAACGTGAAACCCGTGCAAGCACAGAAACAAGGATGCTAAAACAATGATGATGATGATGATGATGATGATGATGATGATGATGATGATGATGATGATGATGATGATCATATGGATGTGCGGTAATGCAACTAAAATGTTCTGTATCGCAACGCGCTTGTTCGGTAAAGCATCTCTTGTTCGTTATTGCAACTTTTTTGTTCGCTATTGCAACTCCGTGTTCGGTTTTGTAACTTGAATAATTTTGTTTTTTTTATTAAGTTGTTACGTCGTCAGCCGGCTCTAAATAATTTTCGTTCAAAGTTAATTGGGCAGATAAAAATTTGTTTGGTGAGTGAAGTAAAAAATCGATATTAAAACAAAATTGTATTTTTGAGAAGTAAATTTATGGAAATCTAATATATATCAGTAGCCTATATAATTATGCATGTGTTTAAAGTTTTAAAATTTTTTTATTTAATTTTTATTTACAAATTTTACACGAAAAAAGCAATTAACTAAAAAGTGTAGTACACTTTTTAAAAATATCTGTACACTGTGTACAGATATTTTTGAGTACAATCAATTTTAAAGTTTATTCAACTTTACAAATCAATTTGTGATATACCTAAAAGGTATAAGCTGGCTTGAATCAAAGTAATTTATATTGATTTCTACTCAACAATTGAGTAAAAGTTTATTTAAACCACTCTGATACTAGATAGCTAAAATCTAAGTTATGGAAGTAAACTTCTACTTAAAATTTGACCTTAAACATTACAAATTTAACCAGCTTGTAATCATGTTATTAATAATATACTATATGGTTATGATAATATTCCTAATAATATTTTATATGCTTATAATAATGTTACTAATAATATAAAATGTGCTTATAATAACATTGTAAATAATAAAGTAGTTTAAGTCACTTTTAAGTTGGCATAAAAGTTATAATTTTTATTTCTTAAGTATATGATTGTTTAGTATTTGTTTACAATATTAAAAGATTTTATTCATAAAGATTATTTTTAGATTAGATTTTGTCCTTTTTACTCAAGACAAAGTTTAATCTAAAGATGGCTATTTTAAAGAACTCTATTGACAAAGTTTAGATGCGAAACTTGTTTTTTGCAAGTAATTTTCAAATAAGAATTTAGTTACTTTCTTTTTTTATTTACGAATATAGTGTTAAAATTATAGATGGTATATTTTTAAACAGTAATAATATAATTTCAAAGATTTTAATTTATATTTACAACAGCTATGTTGTCTTCTTCTTTATAAAGATTTTGTTTAAAAAAATTAAATTTTTCTCTTGTATTGTTATGTGTATTTTTTATGTGTATTCTCTTGTATTATTATGTGTATTTAAGTAATATATCTAGCGAAAACTTTTAATTATACTCCAACATTATTATCTTTTGTTTCTTTAAAAGGTAATAATGCTTATTTTACAATTAAAAGACATTAAATAGTTTTACCATATTTACAATAGTTTAGTTTAAATGTTACTATTTTATTTGGCAAGTTTAATCAAAACTATCTATTAAAGTTAGTTTAAAAATTATTAAAGTTTCTCAAATATCTTCCTGACCGCTGAATTAATTTCAAACAAATGTGCAGTTTCAGTTAAGTTTCGAATGTTAAAGCAACTTTATTTTTTTCTTTATAATATAATTTCAAGAGTAACTTTTAAAACCTGATGAAGAAGATAAATGTCGTTATTCTTGTAACATATTTCATATCTTTTTAAAAATTGTTTTCACAAGTGTTTAAACATTCAATTAGGGATTGTCTATATATTTTGCAATGCAAAGTTTATTTTAAAAAAAGAAGTAGATAACATTTAATTCTTTTACATGACAAAACTTTTAGAAAAAAACTTTTGATCTCTTATGTTTTGTTTATTAGTGAAATTTAGCGTTGCATAATTTATGGACAAATTCTATTCAATTCCACTTTAAAATCAAAGAAATTCACTAATTTTTTATATTCACTATGCTTTAATTTTTGCTTATACATTATAATATTCACTATACTTTAATTTTTGCTTTTTCTATTCTTTAATTTTAGAAATTCATGGAAAACCCGATTATTTTACCTAGCTTTTAAATTATTAATTAGTTTTTAGACTTGTCTAAAAGTTAGTTAAAATTACGATACAGCGACTATAATTTTATTGTAGTGAAAATTTTGCTATTGCACAATCAAACAAAATCTACTCTGCAAAATTTAAAAAAGAGACTTGAAATAAAGAGATAATTGAATTTTTTATCCTGGGGAAAATAAAAAAATTGTGTTCTTTAAAGCACTTTCAAATATTCTGTGATTGTTATAGAGTTCAAAGTTACTTAAAAATTTATTTGTTTTTAGGGGAAAAAGATAGTTTTTAAGCTTCTGGATCATACTTTTAAAATATCTCACTCTATTGATGTCAACATCTGAAGCCTTACAACAGCATACCTTTCAATAATATCTAACTCAATATTATATCATGTGTAAAAATGTGCATTTGAATATAATTAAAATGTGTCATTTCTCAGAAAAATTTAAAAATGCTTATTTAAATTTTTCTGAGAATGGCATGTAATTTATTAATGCTTTGATTCAGACATTGAAGATTTGTTATCAAAACAACATTTAAAGTTTAAAAATCAATCATCTTCAACAATTACAACACAAACTAATTTTCGTGGTTTTAAAAACTATATCAATTTGATCCTGTATATTTGTACAAAGATATCATGAGGTTTTACAGTTAATTTTGCTCTTATTGCATATATATTTTTATGTATATAATATTCATAATTTGTTTTTAATTAATATTCATAATTTTTACGTATAAATTCATAATTTATATATATAAATTTTTCATATTTTATATCTATATATCATGGATGCAGAATCTCTAAAAAGAACTGCGGAGTTAAAGGTCACAAAAAGATTACTTCTTTCTAGTTTTTGATATCCAGTAGCTTTAAAGATATAAAAAGGCCTAAGGGCTACTAATGGGGAAAAAAAATCAAGACTTATACATCAGTAGAACAATAATTTTTGAACCCGAAGTCCAAGGTATAAAGGTGGCATAGACTCCAGGACTTCACGCTTAAAAGCAAGAGTCCTTTTGAAGGACTTTTTGTTTCATAGGAGCCCTTTTAGGACTCTGCATCCCTGGTGTGTGTATATATATATATATATATATATATATATATATATATATATATATATATATATATATATATATATATATATATATTATATATATATATATATATATATATATATAATGCATAAACTTGTATATATATACAAGTTTATGCATTTTACTAAACTTATGTATGTATTGTATTAAATATATCTTCACATTTAGTGTTTGTTCCAGCAATAAAGTCATATATGAAAGATTTAAAAAGCTTCTTCAACTTACAACAACAGACTCTGGATTCCAATATTAGACTAAATTTAGACCTAAAAGGTTGTGACAAAACCCTGAAGATTTAATAAAAAAAAATTGTGTTTTGAGTTTATAAATATTGTAAATATGTTACTATTGAAAAAGTTTATTAAATTGCATTTGCATGCATTTACTTGTATATTCTAGTTTAAAAAAGTTTATTATATATTAGTTAGATTACTGATTTAAAACAAAATTGGTTGATTTTTTTAATTGAATTTTTTTTACAATATAAAAAATTCAATTAAGTGTAACGAACTATTAAAACTTATCAAAATATTAAATTGAAATTTCTCATGCAATCTACAATTGAAGGATTGTCAGCTTTAAGTTGAATGTTATATGCATTTAAAATTATATTTTTTTAAAGGAGATATATATATTTACATATATATATATATATATATATATATATATATATATATATATATATATATATATATATATATATATATATATATATATATATATATATATATATGTATATATATATATATATATATATATATATATATATATATATATATATATATATATATATATATATATATACATACATTTAAAAAAATCGCTCTATTATTAGGTCCAGGAATTTTAAAAGGAAGAC